CACTAACACACACACACACACCTCTGAATGTTAGATTAGTAGGGGGTTCAGGTTAACATGAGTATTGTCACAAAGACACACACACATACACTGCTGCAAACCTAGAGTATTACATGACATTTGTGCAGTTCACTACTGTGAACAATAAATGCAAGCTCTTAAAATTGGGAATTGCGTTTTCTCTTTAATGCACCACTGCTATTAAATTTGCTTGTCGATAGTTGTTGGACAAATTAAGCAACTGACCCTTCCCTGGTTCTTATTAGGGCTGTCAAACGAACACAAACTGAATAAGTAGAAATGTATATATTGTATACTGTATATATTGGTCAAACATATCCATTAATTCTTTCTAATTATTGGCTGATTTATACTTTTACTTTAATGCAAAAATGATTGCTCACTCAACTCACTGTTTAATAAGAACTAGAGCTGTCAAACGATTAATCATGATTAATCAAATCCAAAATAAAAGTTTGTGTTTACATAATATATGTGGGTGCACAGTGTATAATTATTTGATGTATATAAATACACACATGCTTGTATATTATTTAAGAAATATTTTCATGTGTATACTGGATATAGATTTATACATAATTTATATTATATATAAATATTTGATATATAAATAATATTTTTTTCTTAAATATACATGCATGTGTGTGTGTGTTTATATATATATATATATTTATATATATATATATATATGCAAAATAATTATACACTGTGCACCAACATATATTATGTAAACACAAACTTTTATTTTGGATATGATTAATCGTTTGACAGCTCTAGTTCTTATTAAACAGTGAGTTGAGTGAGCAATCATTTTTGCATTAAAGTAAAAGTATAAATCAGCCAATAATTAGAAAGAATTAATGGATATGTTTGACCAATATATACAGTATACAATATATACATTTCTACTTATTCAGTTTGTGTTCTTTACTTTCAGGTCTACTGATCAAATTCGGTGGGTCTCTCAAGAGTAGCACTCGACAACTCTTTTAAACCCTGTTTCATAGCTGAAGTAACACACTGCTTGCATAAATGCTTTTACATTTATTAATTCTAAAATCTGCAACATGTAACTTGTCAAGTGTTTGATAGTTAGACAGCCTGAAACATAGGAAAATAAATGTGCACCCAAATTAAATCTAAAATGCTACGTTCACACTGCAAGCCTTAATCATCAAATCCGATTTACAGATCAGATTTTCTTTTGTATAGCTGTTCATATTGACAAATTAGTGTTGTGTCAAAAAGCAGAAAGAAAACGATAATCCGTTCATTTTTATATAAATCCATGTATATCAGATTCAGATGTGATGAAATGTATTTGGATTTTGTTTTGATTTCACAGAATCGATATCCAGCTGTTAGGCTGGAGCACAACCATTCACAGCCACTTATTATAACCCACATAAATATAATGAACATCTCTGCTTGACAATTGGAGATGTCTCTATCTCTCCATTAGACCCGTCCTTGTCATAAGCTACTTCATAAAGTAGTCAGGACAGGAAGTAATGACACCTACGGAAGTGACCTCCATCTACTCCACTGAAAATGTCACCTTCAAGACACACTTTGCTTCTCTCCATCTACAAATCTCTATTCTCTTTCTCTGTCTCTCACACACAGCCCCCCTCTCCTCATCACCACACACTCTCTCTCTCTCTCTCTCTCTCTCTCACTCTCGTCTGGTCTAGCGCTTTCTGTCTGCTCTGCCTGGTGACAGAACGGCCTGATGGATTTTGATCCTCTCTCTGTGGTCTGCAGAGAGAAACTCATTCTGTGTATGGCTAATCTGCAGTCTGTGATACCCAGACCCATTCTCATTTGTCCACGCTCTCGTTCCGTCTCACTGTGATTGGCATAAGAGGTCAGTGTTAAATAGGACAGAGAGTGTGTCTGGGAGATTTGGACAGGACATAGTAACAATCAAAGAACAGCTCCTTACACTGTCTGGGCGGGATTCGGTTTTAAAGGTTTTGAGTTACAATTATTAAACCATTTAATGTATTGATTCAGGCTGGAGTTGGATCTTTTTTTTTTTTACTTCCACTGGACTGTCTTATCTTGATTTGGGTGTTACGGAATTTGTTGGCAGGTTTGTCTAGCTGCTTTAAGCTGGTCATTAGATGATGTAAGCAGGTCATTATTTGGTTAACAAGCTACCATGTTCCAAAACCCAGCTTAATAACCAATAGCTGATCTGTTGCTGGTCAAAAAATGTCTACTGACAGCTTAGATCAGCTAGAAACTAACTCTCATGTTCCAAAAGCTGTCAGCTTAAAGTGATACTCCAATTTTTTGGATATAGGCTAATTTTACTCCCCCAGAGTTAAACAGTTGAGTTTTACCGTTTTTGAATCCATTCGGCCGATTTTAAGATATTTGGAAGAATATCAGTAAACCAGACAGTTTCTGGTCTCATTGACTTCCATAGTAGGAAAAAAATATATATACTATGGAAGTCAATGAGACCAGAAACTGTCTGGTTTACTGATATTCTTCTAAATATCAGAAAATCGGCTGAATGGATTCGAAAACAGTAAAACTCAACTGTTTAACTGGAAGTGGAGTAAAAGTGGAGTATCCCTTTGAGCTGTATTATTTAACAGGCCAAACAATCACAAGGCAATTTCAAATTAATTAATTATATTATATGATATATTACTGTTTATTAAATAAATGAAAAATCTGAAATCTGGGTGGTACTTGGCCATGTTAAACTCCCTACCCCACTGCTTGGGATTGTTACTAGGGTGTTGCTATGCAGTTTCTCTGTGTTTATTTACATTGTTTGCTAAGGTGTTCTATGTGGTTTCAAGGGTATTTCTTCTATTTATTTAGTTGTTTATTTCTGTTTTAAATTATTCAGAAGATCTGGGTGGTTCATGCATGCCCATACTAATTCGGCACAGTTATGCTAGGGTGGTTGTCAGAGTGTTGCTATGGAGTTTGTAAGGTGTTTTAAATGGTTTGTACATTGCTGTGTGTTGCAAATGTGTTCTAGGCGGTTTCAATGGCATTGATAGGTGGTTGCTAGGGTATGCTAGGCGGTTGCTAGGGTGTTCTAATGTGTAGTTTTTAAGAGTTGCATGAGTCTAGGCCTGGAAAACTGATCTGCACACATCTTAAGTGAGCAAAGCGATGCATAGATGAAATGAAATCCAAATGAATCCACTTGAGAAAATGCTTTGTATTTTAAAATTTAAATTTTCATTATTTATTTTTCATCAATAATTATTTTATTTGTAATATTTTTATTTAAATTGTGTATAGATTGTTGCAATGTTTGTTTTCATCCAGATAATAAAACACTTACATTTAATGATTATATTTATGATTTGAGTCTGTGAAAGCAAAATAATCTGACCTTTTGTACAAATGAGTTCACAGGGTCAATATCACAAATATGCTAATTTAATTCGTGACCTAGAATTACTGCAGATGTTTTTATTACGTCACAATATTTCTTGGTTTTACATTTTTCAACATCCTAAAAATATCGATTCTCAGTCTCAAATCCCCACTGTACATTTAAAAAGACTTATTGCCTGTGTTTTTGATCTAAAGTCAAAGGAACAGCTCTGCATTCATGGGCTAGTTAAAGCCTGCTGTGATTTTGCGTTGTATTGATTCGGTTCCAGTCTGCTAGGCTTGCGTTTATAGTCTTATTTGCTCTTACCAGTATTCTGATCTGAGTCTCATTCTCCTTGTCTTATCTGCCCTCCTGTCTGATTGTCCCCTTCCTTTGTCTGTCTTGCCTGGCTGGCGTTCTATGTCCTTCTCTCTGCTTTCTCTCTCTCCCTCTTTTGCTTCCTTCTCTTGTGCCCTAAATTAGGGGAGAAGTGTTTGTTTCTTTTGATGTGTGAGTGCCAGTATCCCGCAGTACTGCACTGCAGGCAACAACTCACTCTTTCATTCTCTCTTCGTGACACTCTCACTTTCAGCCTCTCTGTTCGGTTTACTCGACTGAACGAGGTTCCAGAACGGTCCCTCGGCGCAGTTGGTGGAGAGCTCATTTTTGTTGTCTAAAAAGCATGTGAACTCGAAAAGCGTCTCCATCTGAGAAACAGTCTTGGTCTTCTTGCCTGACAGAGCAAGTGTGAGTCCAGCAGGGTGTTCTTCATGTTCAAAAAGAACATTTAAAAAAAAAAACATCTATCAAGCTGTTTACCTTCATCACTTTGAGTCTTGCAGGCCAGGATATTCAAAAAAAGCTGCTTATTAAGCTGTAAAGCTATTTCAGGTGAACTTTTCATTTATTTGCTGAAAAAAATAAATAAAAAAATTGTGTGCATGTGTGTGTAAATATATATATATATATATATATATATATTATTTTAAGTATAATAAGAAAACAATGGCAAAATATTTAAAAGTGAAATATTACTTAAAGAACAAAGAGAAGGTAATCTCAAGACATAAAGGGTTTGTTCACTCAAAAATGAAAAATCTGTCATCATTTACTCAGACTTTCGTTCATCTTCGGAACACAAATCTTTTTAATGAAAAAAGGAATTTCTGTCCCTCCATTGACAGATACAGAACTACCACTTTGACGCTTCAAAATGTTCATAAATGGGTCGTAAAACTAATCCATATGAAATAAGTGACTTAGTCCAAATTTTCTGAAGATATTGGATTGCTTTATATGATTAGTTCAAAGGTCTTGCTGTACTAGTGATCTTGCTTTAATTCAGTGAACTATCCTAGTGAATAATATTCATCCTGTTGTCCATGACAAACTAAAATGGCTCTCACCTTTTTTTTTTTTTTTTGCCAGATGATATCACAAATTTGGGAGACTGTAGTCATCATGATGTTGATTTGACTCTGCTGCCATCTTTTGGTCAAAATGAGACTAAACTTTTCTTTTCTTTTTTTTTTTGTTTTTATAAAAATGTCGTCATTGTAAACAAAATCTGTTTTTGTTTCTCCCATTTTGCACTGTTCTGAGCTCTTTTTGTCTTTTTATGTTGCAGCTGAACTGGAGTTTGTGCAGATCGTGATCATAATTGTCGTGATGACTGTGATGGTGGTGGTGGTCGTGTGCCTGCTCAACCACTACAAACGCACCACGTGGTCGTTCCTGAGCCGGGCAAGTCAGGCACAGAGTCAGGATCTCTCTCTGCAGCCGGTAAGACCCCGTCCTGACAACAGCACCTGTGCTTTGAAAACCTTCCTTCAGTTCAACCATCCTCAAATATTTCAATGAGCCCTGGACAGGAACTAAAATTGTATGTATGAGGCGTAGCCTAGAAGTTCATATGGAACACATAAGCTGCCTCTAATTTCCTGTCTCTTCTCCGCTGTCTTACGTTGCTTTACAAAACATTGCTAAATATGAAAGGGCATGATGAGCAATTAAATACAAGAAACATGGGAATAATATGAAATGTAAACAACATAAAAGCAAATGGCAGTGTGGCATGAAATTCGTGAAACAGAAATGAGCAGAATATTTCAGTCAATCAACAGCAGAACTAAAAGGGATTGTTTAAAAGGCCGTGAGAGTAGCACAGAGAAATCAAATGAGTTTTAAACCGTTTTTGGAAGGTAGAAAGGGATGAGACTTCACAAAGGTTCTGTGAAGTGGGTTCCAGTGTCCAAGAGCGCATAAGGATCATCAAATCTAGGACAATAAGCACCTTCTTATATCATATTTTAATTCAAAAACATCACAGTTCCTTGATGTATTCCAGGCTGAGAAATGAAATATCAATTTCTTATGCTGAATAGATGTATTTTTTCATTTTCTGTGTCATCTCTAAAACTTATTTGGTATATATTATCCAGGTGAGCTTTCATCTTTGAAAAGAGGAAAACGGCAGGACCTAAAAGTCTCTTGAGTGGTGTGTGTGTGTGTGTGTGTTTGTTTACTTCTGGAAATGTCTTCTTTGTGTCTAATCCAAAATAACTTGCAGCAGTGAGCTGATGAGAGAGTGCTCTGCGTGTGTGTGTGTGTGTGTGTGTGTGTGTTTTCCCACCTCACCCGAGGGATGATTTTTGGAACATTTGCACAGTTTAAAACCAGACAGACTGCAGGAAATTAAGGAGGTTTGTGAAGATGCTACAGAGTGCATGAGGTCTAAGTTGTTCAAAACTGAACGCTGCTGCATAAGGACATAGTTTATATTACTGGATGCACTACATGTAATTAAAACGCTACATATTACTCCTTCAGAAAAGACAGTGTGTTTTGGAAGAGACACAATGGCAGTGTCCCTCTGAGACCAGGGCATTTTGATTGCATTCAGCAGTTCTGTCTAGACGCCAGTCAAATAGACACGCGCAGCCCACTGCAGCACTCGGGAGAGACTGCTAAATGACTAGGACTTTTCATTTTCATTCATGAGGGAACGTAAGGGGGAGGGAAGCCAGCGAGGGTGGCAAGCAGCGATGTCTGGGAGAATGTTACTCCATGGTTTTGTTTCGGCTTTTTAATTAGAAAGGATATATAGGTACAGAGCATTATTAGAGTTTAACAAATGGAATCTGTCTGATTGGGATTTTTTTTTTTTTTAATGGATATAATTAGGGTTTAACAAATTTGTATGGCTTTGTTGTATTTATTTATTTATTTATTTTTAAAATGTCATCCATAAAAATTAAATATGGATGTAGTCACGGAGCATTTTTAGAATTTAACTGAGCCCGTATGAAATATAATTAGGGTTTAACACACAGGTTATTTATTTATTTATTGAAGAATAATTACTGATTGAATTTCTTGTGTTATTTTATATTATATTAACATTTTTGTTTGTTTTTTAATGTCATCCATGCATTTTTTAATATGGGTATATGAAATCACAGCGCATTATTATGGTTTAACAAGCAGGTATTTGATTTTAGTTTTTTATTATTATTTACTTATGTATTTGTTTATATTTTAATGCCGTTTATGACTATTTCAGAATATTTCTGATATGTTAACTTAGACATTGATTTTAAATGTTCCACTTTAATCAACTTTCAGGGGGTTAACAAAATAATTTTGACTAGTTATTATGTATCAGTATTTTACTATCAGTGAGATTAGATTGATTAGATTATCTTAAATTGCAAGTAATTCAGAATATTATATGTGTATTTTTCATCCTTGTTTGTAGGAGGGTTCTTTGTGGCCATCAGATAATGGGCTGAGACAAGGAGCATCTGAGGTAATGTGTGTGTGTGTGTGTCCTATGCTCTAAGGAGCTTGTTTCAATGGTTGTTGTTCTCCTTGTATAAATGGCATGTCTGCGTGTAACAAGCAGTGAAGTCTCCTCGAGTGTATGCTGTGTCATATGCCTGAGTGTGCCTGTGCTTCTCAGTGTAGGCGTATGTGAGGGAGGATTATAGTCTCCGAGACTGTGTCTGTGAGTGATAGCACTTAAAAAAAATATTGTGTGGAGAGAATACTTGCATATATATTCATTGTTTGTGTGTGTGATGGGGGTGGGGGGGGGTCTCTCTCACCGGGATGCATGCTGCCTCTCAGCAGTTCATTAATCTCTCACCCTCCTCTGGCAGCGTCTAGACGTCTGAGAGACCAGACACTCGCAGTCTATCCGCGTAAATTGCCTCCCATCAGCATCCAACTCGCTAATGTATACGTGGCCCCCGCAGTAATGAGACTGATCTCATTGGCTAACTGACATGCAGATTTCACTCGTATGAGGATATTTTATCAGCTGCGTATTAGCATACTAATGTCTGGACTGGGGACTGTTTAAGTTTGGGGCTCTGGTGAGTTTATATGGAAATGGTAGAGTCATTTTTTTTTTATCTGTGTGGATGTGACATGAGTAGAATATGAACAATTCTGAATGAACAATTTTGTCTGTTGTAAACATGGATTTATTTGGATGTTCTAGTGAATAATATAGACTCATTCGCTCTTTCTCTGTTATTTATGTGGTATGGGGCTGGGTAATATAGCTTAAAACGTATCAAGATTTTATTTGCATTTCAAAATATCCATATGAAATAAATAATATTAATAAAATAATTAACAAATTAAATAATTAAAATGAATTATTCTATTTTAATAATACACACACATACACATATATATATATATATATATATATATATTTATATATATACACACACCCAAGTGGTCAAAGATTTGGACTGGTAATTGAAAACCCTACAAGGGATGATCCTTGAACTTCTACTCCCATTGTGCCCTTAAACTTTGGATAATGTTATTTGCTAATGTCAAATTATTAGTTACTGATTTTACGACTTTATAGCTAAAAGGGCAGATTTTCATTTTCGATCTTGGATTCTCTCTCTTGTCCTCCGCAGGTGGTGTACGCTCCTCAGCCAAGGGACCGTTTCACCGCTCCCACTTTCATGCAGCACAACCGCTTCAGACGTTTCCAGCCTACGTACCCATACCTGCAGCATGAGATCGACCTGCCACCCACCATCTCGCTGTCAGACGGGGAGGAACCGCCACCGTACCAGGGCCCCTGTACACTGCAGCTGAGAGACCCCGAACAGCAGCTCGAGCTCAACAGAGAGTCCGTACGTGCCCCGCCCAACCGGACCATCTTTGACAGCGACCTCATTGACATGCACAGTTCAGGGGGTGGCGGTGGGCCGCGACCTCCCAGTAGCAACTCTGGGATCAGCGCCACCAGCTCCAGTACCCATGGACGCATGGAGGGCCCTCCGCCCGCTTACAGTCAAGTCATTGGGCAGCAGCCGGGCATCGTACTTTACCTCCACCAGCACAGCAATAACCCGCCCCTCACTGTCACTGTGCAGACTCCACCCAGGGGCCGGACAGATTTAAATAGCCCAGAGAGCACAATAGGTTTAAGCAAAGACAGACAAAAGGAGGAGCTAGTGTGAGGGGGTGGGGCTAGCACACGATTGGCCAATCGCGATCACTCTCCACCCATAAAGGGAACAGGTTCTCCCTCTTGACACTCCCGTGCACAACAGCGCTTAATGTGTCTTTGCAAGGAAAAAAAAGAAGCAAAACCATGTGTTTTTATTAAAAATTAAGAAGCTGAGGAGCTGAGCTTACAAAAGAAAACATTTCATTTGTTTTCTGTCAGACCAGCTGCGCTAAAACTGGGGTTTATGCACTGCCTGGAGTCTCCCACCTTAATTGCTCTCTATTACTTGTGTATAGCCGACAACTTTAGAGAAGGTCATTCGCACACAAGACAGGCATTTTGTTGTTGTTGTTGTTGTTCTTCTCGTTGGTTTTATCGTTTTATCCCCCTTGAATGCCCCTCTCCCTGCCCAACACGCACGTTGACACACTAGCTGTGTGGATAGAAATTTCTTTTTCTTTTCTTTTTCCATTATTTTTTATTTAAAGACCGAGATCTGTGCAGCATGAACAAAACAAATGCGAAAAAGGGTGAAAATCCAAATCCTAGTGCCAAGGTTTATTCGGAAGGTGTCATGGGGCGTCGACTGTCTTAAAGACTTGTTCTACATATAAATTGAAAACCTTTTCTGAACTTTTGCACTATTGTTGAGGTTAATCAGAGAAATTTGGGAATGGGGTAGTGGGGGTGGTGATGTATGCGTTTACTGTTTGTACTGTCGTTTTCATGTAGATCCGATCATATGCTTCAGTGCGCGAGCTTTCTATCGAAAGGGAAGTGATCTCGTCTGTCTCAGCACATGAAAAATCTCTGATCCAGCCTAAAATAACCTTGGTCTAAAAGAGGCACAGAATACAGAGAGTCTGCTCTACTCTCATCTATCCTCACCACTGACATGTTCAGCCGCTTTCACAGACTACAGCTGATCTGAGATCAGTTGGCTGGTGGCACGGTTGACATTTTGCCTAAAAAGAAACTGGCTTTACTTAGTGATCCAAACAGGTTTAACATGTTACGAGATTGTCACTCATTCTTAAGAGGTTCTCCAACTCTTTTTTTTATTATAACTATCTATTTATTATAAAAAATTATATACAGGCAAAATTAATAAAATCTTAATGTTATTTTCTTTATAGACTCTAGTGAGAAACTATGAAAATTCTTAGTTAATCTCTGTTTATTTGTGTGTGTGTGTGTGTGTGTGTATATATATATATATATAAGTATGTATGTATATGTAATTTAAATATTATTTTTTAAAGGATTTTCTTTCCTCATTGGAGTCTTTCAAGAAAATAGCATCACTACAATTTCAAGGTCACAATTTCATGCCTTTTGCACTTTTGCTTTCAAATCAAAACTGAAACTGAATGAACCTATAAAATAATCCAGTTCTTTATTGTAATGCATTTTTTTTTTTTTTTGACACTAGTCACTACCTGCTAACATTTTCCACACTTTTTTGTTTGAGTTACCACCTCTTACAGCCAATACCAGAACATAGACATTCATTGGCATAATCTTCTAATCAAAATGCCAGTGCGGTCGAAGAATAATAAAAAAAAAACTTTTGCGTGTTGTATTATCTAGTCCCCAACAAGAATTAATCAGGTTTAAAAATGTGGTGAAGTCAAGGGCTAATGTGATGGGCATTTTTGAAAATACCTATTTTTACCCAGCAATCCTCTGTCCTGTTGCCTTTGCTCTCACTCTGTCACCAACCAGAGTGAACCCGACCCTGACACCAGCTCAATTACGCACTAGTCCTGAACATCGAACTCTTCCTGTCCATATGTGTTCCTCTTATTTGCCACGTAGTCATACAGTCAGGAAATCAAAGATCTGTACTTCTCAGAGCGGCTCTCTGCATTCAGTTCAAGCTTGGGCGTAATCGATCACAATCATTTAGGCTAGAGGATGTTTCTCTGACCAAGAATCTGGTGAAAAGGTAGAGAAGATCTCGAAGAAACCCCAAAGACTCTTACCATTTAGTGCACACACATCCCTTTAAAAAGGAGACTGAAGACTGAGGCCCTGTTTTTAGTCACCACTGAGTCTGTCAAGGACAGATGGACTTGTGAAAAGGACATGAGTTTTTTGGGTTTTTTTTGTTGGGGATCATGGTCAAAAAAAATCAAAAGCAACATACTCACCTTAATAAGCTACTCTATTTGTACTCGGAATGTTAAGAGTTGGCCAATCAAAATGTGTTTGAATGCTTTTATTTCATGTCTGTGTTGGTTGGCTTTTTTTATGTGGACAGAAATGATGTCTTCTGGACCCATGTGCTTTAAACCAGACTTAACACATCAGCACTCTCCTCTTCTATATTTAGATTTGTAGGACCACATCAAACTTGGACTAGTTTTGGAATTCTAGACTCCGAATACCTGAGCTAGATTTGGGATTTTAGAATCCTAGCCGTTTCATCCCTTACACCTGATGCACACTGTACGATTTTGGCCACAATTTCTGAGACTAATTTGGAAGTCTGAAGTCTTTGATCGTAAGTTTGACATGTTCACTGATAGACCGTTTCAAAAAAAAAAATCTAATTTTACCTCAGACAAAATTCTGGCATTGTCATAAGATTTGACTCACAGTCCTGCAGTGTGACTTCTACGACGACCATCAAATTGTCTTTGTTTTTCAAGACAAGCCACGACCAAAATCTACATTAAGATAGCACATGTACGTCTGCAAGATGTCTGTTAAAGATCCCGTCATCTGGAAAGCATCTGCTGTTTACTAACATCTGATAGATATTTTTAAGATGTCAGTTTAACATGCATTCTAAATCATTACATCTTAAAGACATCTTCTAAACGTCTATTTGACATCTGACAGGAAACGTCCTATAGACGGATTGCAGATGAGCAAATACTCTAAAAAAGACGTCTTCCAGATGTAAACACACCCATCAAATAGACGTCTCTGTGATGTACGTGTGCTATCAGGGTAGAGATTTATTTGTAGCCACCATTTCAATCCCGCGTGTAATCACAGTCACCGAACGCGTCATCCGGGCGAGCTTTCTTGGGTCCGTCTGTTTTTAACGCGTTTTGACTGCCGTACAGTCTGACATCAATAATGACAACTGAGATCTTATGGTGTGACATGGCTTACAGCGAGGATCATGTTCGCAACAATCATAAGGACTATTCGTTAATCGTACTGTGTACCCGGCTTTAGCAAAAACGTTGGAATCGCCACACTTGGAGGACGCAGCGCCAGAGTTTTGATTGTAGGTGGTAAAATAAGCCACAAAAAACGGGTTCCCCTTCATGTCCATTTCTGCGCTTTTCTATGGCACTGAGAACTCAGTAGCTTACCTGTGTGGTTATTGTGTCGCTGTCCTGCTCCTCAGAGCGTTTCTTGCTGAATCTAAATGAAAACGAGCTGCTTTACTTTGCGTTTCATTTTTAAAAGCTTGCGCACCAACGTCATTCATGAGGGGTTTTAAATTAAATTCAAATTTAAGGCTTTTTAAGACTCGAAGAAATTAAGTTAACTGTTTTATGAACTAAATATCATATTTGCTATTGTAGACGGGAAAATGGCCCTCTTGCTGATGTGGTATTGCATGATAACAACATAGGAATATGAGTCAAAAAATAATTTGGGGACAAAGGCTACCTATAACTGCACACATCATGCCGTGAAAGCACGAGAGACAGCGATGTCACCTCACAGTGCCTCGTACATTGTTAAAATGATGGTTACAATAGCATAATAGACAATACACATCGCTCACCACTACGCACAAAATGGGGTCAAAATGTGAGGGCCCGGATAGGGCCCAATGGTAGCGCCGCGGGGATCAACCACCTTTTTTTTTGCTTTATAGCAAATCAACTAATCACAGATATGACACAAAACAATCTCTGTTTAATAGCTGAACATTGTGGTTCCATTACAGTTTTTTATTATTAATTGCATATTAATTGGAAAATTAGGGAATCCTCAACAAAAACACACTTAGTGTTTTGTTGCTTCTTTTTTGACTTTTATGATACTGATTTTTTTTTTTCCTGAACAAAAACTTTAACGGTATATGTTTCAGAAATGCAAATTACAAGATGATTCCATATTTGTTTCCTCTATTTGGAAAACTTGAGAAACAAAATACTATTAATTAAAAAAATATTTTGTTTGAGATATTTCACGAAGTTAGATGGTTCAGCTAAACAAAAACTAGTTCATTTGCTATGAAGTAAAAAAAAATGGTGAAAGTGTGGTGATTTTTTTATTTTTTTTTATTTTTTTTAGGCTCGATTTTCAAATTCTAGAGTCCTATCACTTTTAGCTTCTGGATTTCTAGCCAATTTAAATGTAATACTCCCAGAATTTTGAAATTATTATTCTAGAATCCCAGAAAGTCCCAATAAGAATGGCTAATTTCCAGCAGCTAAGCTCAGTGTATAATTGTAGAGTCGTTTGAATGGTGTATATATGCTCATGTCTTTCAAGCACATGCTTTAAAAGCTCACAACATTGCAGAGTCAGAGGGAGATATTTCTCTCAGTTCATCTGGGAAGATTAACCAAGGCTACAAAGAGCAACGTGAGAGCACAATGCCACTGCATTCCAAACTGTATGCTATTTAAGAGCTTTTTCCCTGTTTCCCGTCCCTCTAATCTTTTCACTGTCTGTCTTCAACCATTTCATTAGTCAGTTTGCTGCTCCCGCCGCCGCTGCTGCTGTTATGCTGCTTCTCATCTGCTGCACTTTTTTGTTTTGCCTGTCTGTCCATCATCCATCCTCGCACCATCCTGGTAAATACTTCCCTTTGTCCTCCACAATTTGTTTCCATCTCAAAGGAAGAGCTTTGTGCCGTTTTCTACTGTCCAAGGAGTTTGCATGTTACTCACAAGCTGAATCGGTGCCTATCGATCGTGTTGTTTTTGAGCGACGTAGGAACCCACTTGCACTCTAAAAGTTCCCACCTTAGCTGTGCCTCACTTCCAATGGTGCTTTCTTCTGTGTAATGTTTTTTTTTTTTTTTTTTTTTTTTTTGTAAAGTGCTGTAAATAAAGTTAGTCTGTATGCACATATCCTACCCAATGGGTAGAAACCACAGAAAAAAAGACATTGTTAATAA